ATGTTACCGCTAAAGCTTGAAAGTCGTTAATGTGTACATTACCTAGCTAATCTGCAGATTAACTAGGGTAATCCGTTAAAGTTGCTAAAATTGTTCTATTTCTCAAATGACCTAGGTAATCTGCAAATTACCTACTAGGCACTCGGTAAAGTGAAAATAAGATCTTTGCAACGTTTCTGTACACTTAAATTAACATATTGTTCTTTGTTTGATTCTTTAGGTATCGAAAATTAAATAATCAACAAATTGGTTGATAGAATTAATCATCAATCAATTAAAAAACATACAAAAAATCAAACGGTTTAAAATATTAATACAATTAGGGAAATTATTATCTAGATAACCATCTATGGAATTTCGGGACTTTGAGTATCTATCTGAACTGAGGAGACCGAGACGATTTCAACGATATCCAACTTTTGGACCGGAGATGAAAAATAATAAAGTTATCATACTTTTACTGATGATCGCGTGATATAATTGTGCAGTTAATGTTACCTATGGTGAGTAAAATGGCGGCTCGTCCCTGATTCCAGCAAACAGAAGAATGGAAACAGTGGGGACGCACGTTCTAACCTAACCTAACCTATTCTAATAATTACCATAATTATTACCAACCAAATTATTAGAATAGGTTTGGTTAGGTTTGAACGTGCGTCCCCACTGTTTCCTTTCTTCTCTTTGCTGGAATCAGAGACGAGCCGCCATTTTACTCACCATAGGTAACATTATCCAATCGTGCTTACTTATTAGTGCAGTCTAAAGATTGGTGACACTTTGAATTTCATAGCAATTGGTTTTTGCGACAAGCACACCTATTTGTGGTACATTTATTTGTAGCGAAGATCTTATTTTCACTTTATCGAGTGTCTACTAGGTAATGTGCGAATTACCTAGATACTCTGCACATTATATAGGTAATTTGAGAAATGGAACAATTTTCACAACTTTAACGGATCACTCTAGTTAATCTGCAGATTAGCTAGGGTGATGTACACATTAACGACTTTCGAGCTTTAGCAGTAACATATGTACAAATACCAAAACAGGATTGACAGCAGTTGCTTCTGCAGCTTGAAGATTTTCTTATTTTCAGAAATATACAACGCTCAGTAGTGTTTGTTTAATAGTTTAAAAACTTTAACAAGCTTTGCTGTTAATTTCTAAGTTTTAAATGAACAAGTCCATTAGTAGAGAAAATTCTTTCAATTCCCGCTGAAGAAGCCACTGCTGTGTGCAGCTGTGTAACTAATTTTAAAACAGGTTCATCAATTCTGTTACGAAATGACTGCCACTATGTAAGAGGAGTGATATTAGTTAACACAGACTCTTCAAACATGTGTTGCAGAAATGAGCTAGATTTTGCCAAGTATTTTAAAACTGAAGGCATAGTGTATGCTTTAAAATACGTGAGTAGTTTAAAACAGACTAGCAGTAGTAAGCGTGGCAGAGTTAGTGCAGCATCCTTCTTACTCAGGGCCGGATCATCGCATAGACAAATGAGACAAATGTCTAGGGCCCAGTTTCTAGAAGATCCCGTTCAAACTTTATTTTGAAAACATTTGTAAATAAGATTCTTTAGATAATTTAGATTTTTTAAAGCGATGATTAAATATTTCTTATTAATAAAAAATTAAGATTTGTTTTAGTTTTTCACATTATTTAGTTTTGTTTTATTTATTGTTTTATATTATTAGTGTGTTCTATTTCTCGTGGGAGAAGGAGGGGCCCAGTAAAAAGAAAATGTCTACGGCCCGAAAGTGGGTTAATCCGGCCTTGCTCATACTGTCTGTGAGCTTTGCACTCTGGTATATTGGGTTCAGAAGATTTGCTAAAAGGTGATAGTCTGTGATAGCCATATCAAATCTGTCTTTGGCTGCTTGCATGATTCCAGTGATCCCAAGTTGTTGCAAGTCATTTTGAACACTATAAAAGTAATGTTATAAAAAACCTTTCGCTGCAAAAGTAATTTATAAAATTTTCATAGATCATAGATAACGATGTATATGTATTAGCCCTTACGTTTTTCGAAAAGGACTGTTTTTTTCTTAACGCTATGGAGATTACTCGGGCGAAGAACTAAAGAATATCTATATACATTCAATTGAGCTATGACTCGGGAAAACTTTATAGCAAGCTATAGAAAATTTTAAAACTTATAATGGTTCAAAATACTTACCCAGCTGTTGCAATTCCTATATATCATTTTGTAGATGGTTATCTTCAATATATTTTTTCATACTAGCGACTAATCCAACCATTTCTTTCCTACATACTGTATTATGAATTGCACCTGCATGCCAGTTTTCCTGGATTTCCAGAAATTAGTTTGTACTGGTTCCAGATATTATTAGGCCTTCTTCCTGCACTCATTTTTTACTTAACAAGTAACGATGATAATAATAATGTTCTTTTTCCATCCAAGTAATATTACATTAGCTGTATTGCTAAAAAATGTTTTAACTGGCATGTGCTAGCAGGAAATCTCCTCTTAGTTATAAAAGTCACATGTCACGTGCTTTCATGAGCCATGAGAGTGAGAAAAATTTCCCATTCCTACGCTCACGTTTAGCTCACAAGTCAGAAAAAGTTTATTTACTAAATTTATGCAATAAAACCATTGGCATGCCGTGACATTTGATGATAGGGCGGCTGTGTTTCTGTAAGAAGCCGACATCCAGAGACAATCAGTCAATTGCGCATTAGTGATGGTTTAGGGTCCATTCGTATCGTTTATTCGATAATCCAGTAAAAACAGTAGACTTTTCTAAATGTATTTTTAATCTTCCTACCCACGCTCGAGGCTGACTCGAGCGTGGTCCTTAGCGTTCCAAAAAACCGGTCCTTAAGGTCATTTTTGAAAAAAAAATATTTTGATGTTTTTTGTCTCCAAATTTTTTCAAAATTTTTTTCCCGCGCGAAAAAATTTTATCGCGATTTTAATGACGCGTGATTAACAATTAATTGTTTTTTAATGGGAGTTTTTTATCAAATTTCATTCATGGTTCCTAAGTTCTAATGCACCGATTTGACTTCGATAAAGTTATTTAAAGCTAGTTTCTGATGTCAAAAACGACCTCCAAAAGTTTTTAAATTTTATTAATTAATATATTTTATTTTATATAAATTTAATTAATTAGGGTAGGTCGGAAATCGCAATTAAAATTTTAATTTTTTAAAAATATTTAAAAATATATGCCTAGTTTGTAGTACTTTAAACCCTTGTCCTCCCGAGACGTCTATGAGAATTCCCCGGGAAATCCGATCACAGCTGTTCTCAAGGTCATCCAGCTGTATAAACAATGACTCATCGGTGTTAAATTTCGCAGAAAGGCGAGACAAAGGAACTTAAACTTCTGCTCTTTCTTCAAAATTAACGCATTTCTTTCGTTTTTTTCAGTTTTAAGTATTTTTTATGCTTTATTAAAAATTCTATAAGAATTGGGCGGTCAGAAGGGGTTAATATCACAATTTACATTCGGAATCGCTAGCCACGATATAAGAACTACAATTAAAAATAAAATAATAAAAACTTACTTGGTGAAATAAAATGTGTGGTGGATGTACCGTTACATACCTGGTACAAAATATTCTTTAATTGTATGAATATACTTTTAAAGAAAATTGTAATTAAATATACCTTTGTAAAGAAACATGCATAAAAATATGAAATATTCTTTACTTTTAGTAATTACTTGTTGATTTGAGAGAAAGAATCGTTTGTTTTATAATGTAATATGATATTAAAAACGCATAAGTTTCACATATGAACTTTGAACTGGAGATGAATTAGCTTTAATTACACAGATTGATATCAGATGTATGTTAAATTATAGAAAAATGCGTGATTTTTCAAAGTCAGGGTATGAAAACTTCAATCATTTTCTCCACCATAGATTCAGTTTCACCCACACTGCTAATTGTTTTCTTGCTGTAAACAAGCTTTCTCGGTTAGAAATTGATCAAATGACAATGTAATTATTTTATTATACACAGAAAAAAGTTTGCTTTAACATTTGAGAAATAATTTTATCAGGAAAAATTCTGTAATTTAATTTTAATTTATTATGCGGTATAATCAAAAAATACACATTGCATAAATTATTAGAAAATAAGTTCAAAATTTGCGGCTGAATATTTAAGTAGAAATATTTTCCATATGAGAAATAATGCTGTTATTAAAAAAATAATGCATGGTTCACCCAAAATTGGCAATTAGACTATTTCCATGATGTCGAATGGGCAAATTAAAAGGTAAATAAATTAAAAATCAAAATAAAATTAAGTGTTTTGGTCAAATTGGTTGATTTACACTAATCTGTATAAACCAAAATTTCGATAGTTGCAAAATTCAAAGTATTACACTTTTTATCGTGGTAAAGATGAGAGATAGCAATTCAAAAAAATTGCATTGAGAAAAATAAACGCAGTGGTCTACTTTAAATCAATTAACTTTATTTGAGTCCTTAAGGAAAACCATAGAATATATTAGACTCTTGTTAATTTATCAGAAATCTGGCACACTAGTGAATGTGCCAGAAACATGAGCCGTTCTCAGCCCGGCAAACGTATTTGTAAAATCTAAGTGACTCGTACAAAATGGAATTGATATAAAACGGAATAATCAACAGTGTTATAGGCGGGTCGACTGTATTTCTATATTTTAATTTACTTACCTAATTTTCTAAAACTATTAAATCTGGCAGAGGTTTTTAACTCATTTGTGATTAGAGGTACTGTACTTTTTTGTAAATTTTCATTTAACAAAGCATTTATCGCTCAGAAATCTGGCACATTAGTGAATGTGCCAAATTTCTGAGCGATAAAATACATCAGTTGAAGTGTACAGTAAAGGAAATATAATAATGATGCGTGTAATAGATTTATAATTCCTAATGTTTACTGTAATATGTCTAAAAGTTATCTTTAATCTAAATAAATTTCTCAATAAATATTATCTACAATATAAGTATTTTACATTTTTACTTTAACTGTTTTAGGATATAAGCTTATTTCCTAAAGGCGATCTGACTATTGTAGGAGAAAGAGGAGTAATAATGAGTGGTGGACAAAAGGCAAGAATTAATCTAGCAAGGTTAGATATGTGTTACTCTGTATTTCTCTGAGTTTAACGATAGGAGTATGATATCAATGCGTAAAAGACATATAAACTCTAATCATAAATTGCATTATAATAAAATTTTAGTAATACTGTTATATATTTTTTTTTCTAAATTTAATTATCATCTATTGACAATTAACATTTTTTAAAATAAACGTTAGATTGTTTCCATACACAAAAATGTTGTTGTTTTATAAATAATTTAATTTGTCTGAAGTTTGTGAGTTATTCTCCATCTGAAGTAATTTTTATAACTTTTAATTTAGCAAATTTACTAAAATACTTCAATTGAACCAATAGTTCCTGATTCATTTTTTAACAAAAATAATTTTTTCATCATTTTTAGTTCATTTAATTCAATTTAACAATTTAATCTCTTGTTTTCAATCTGAAATAATTATTTTTAAAACTTTTAATGTAACAAAATAATTAATATATAAAAGTTAATAAAAAAAAATTTATGACTATACTAAAATTTCATACTAAAATTTCTAATTTATTTCTATACAAAAATTTTTTTCATAATTTTCAATCCTACAAATTTACTAAAATACTTAAATTCTTCAACATATTCTGGCGCATTTCTGATAACAAGTGTGACCTTTCGGGTCGGCACCTCCTTAGTGCCCTGTCAGGATTGAAACCACCGTGTTTAACGGAACGTGGAAGCCGAGACGGAGATTACGTCACACCGTCGCGCGAGTGGTCCCGTAGGTGGACAGACGGATTCTTAATGTTAGGTCGAGAGACAGCATGTGGAAGCGACTCGGACTAGACTTAACAATTAACAAGGGTTTATTTAAAAATAAATTGGATAAAGTATTGTCGCGGAGAGAAAGCGTTCACATACGGTTCGCGTGGTGATAAATACCTTTGGTAATTGATATCCCGGTCGGGTCGTGTTGAATCAGAGAACTTATGGGCTTCTACAGCATGTATCCAGGGGTGAAATAGCCAGTCAAAATGTCCCTTTTGATTTATCCAGACTCGATCGTGCACTAACACACACACACACAGAAAAGGTTATCCTATGGGCGACTATTACATGGGTGACTATTTCTTGGACGTCGATTTCTTTTCTCTCCGAGGACTAAAACGGAGACTGACTCTTTTCGGCCGTCTCTGGTGATATTCACGGACGATTTCGGCCGTGCACAGGTTAATAGTTCAAGAGAAAGCGTCATATTGCTTTCGAGAAAATGTAACGGAAGACTTTCTCAGGTTGCTAAGACCAACAATTGTTGCGTAATTCGCGCAATGTTGCTATTAAAGACTAGTTCTAATATAGGAATTTCTGCTATCTCATACAAGTATATTTCAGTAACCTTTAATTTAAGAAACTCACTGAATTACTTTTGTGACCGACAGGTCGGCACCGGATCAGCGATGTCCATGTCATGATTGACACACTGTGTTTTAGAGAACACAGAAATTGCGAGGGCGATTCGTTTCGTTTTACGCGCGAGCGGTCGCATTTCGTGAGGTAGGACGCCCGCGAGACAGCGCGTCCGAAATAAGTGCACACCAGAACTCAATTATAGAAGAATAATACCTATTTATGTAAACTATTTACACAAATACATAGGATAACATAGATTTCCGAGCTTCTATATAGCATCATATAATGGATAAGGCTTATATTAGACTAACATAGTTCATTATGTTTTATTCAATAGTATTAGGTATTATTTTAACGGGTCCCTAGCCGCGCGCGAGAGAGAGTTTATATTTCTACGCGAGGCTATAAATACAGTAGAGCATCGATTATCCGACTCAATTGAAGACTCAGGTTGGTCGGATAACTGAGAAAATCGGATAACCGAAAAGAATGAAAAAAATACATTATTAATAAAGTATATTAGTATATCCCATATAATTAGTATATTAGTATGTCGCTATTAAACTACTTCGCGTTGAATTTCCATCGATGTTAATCCTAACAAATTTTTTTAAAATAATAATCATCGCTATTGTATCGTTAAAAATTATTTTTTAATTATTTTATTGCTCACGAAACAAACAACCATTCGTAATTAGAAAATTAAGTCTCGTTTAAATACTTGCCTCCCTTCTATGGTCGAGTCATGTTGCCAGCTAAAACGCAAAAATTTAACAAAAATAATATTATAGCAGCCAAGACAAAGCCAAATATTGTAGTGCCACATCACTAGCGGACATTTGAAATTTGCCGACTAGAACGATCGGTTAACCGATGTGACGGTTAATCGGGGGTCGGATAATCGATGCTCTACTGTACCTTGTTCCGTCGAATCTTGAATTTCGTCGGACTATAGTTAATCTATTGCAACCGGGTAGAAATGTTGAAGTTCGTTGGGTTGTTGGATGGAGAAATTCGAATGTCCGAAAAGAACAGCTACAGTCTGGGAACAACGGCAGCCGGGATCGGTGGCGGAAGAGATCAGCGGAAGGAGAACATCTGGAATATCCTTTCCCCAGGAGGTGGATCATTGAATTCTCTGTTGCCATCGACTTTATCATCTTTATTTCGGGGGTCTTTCCCTTTTAATTTCGATGCCCTTTTTAGGCAATATCAAGTTTTCCGACAAATAGTGATTTTGTTAGGTTTCCGGTGACACATGCGATGTGTCACCTGGGAAAGGAAGTGACTTCATTGAAAGATACGATCATATTCTCCGACAATTAAATTATTTTTTCGCTGGGAAAATTTTACCACAATTTAACTTTCGATAAATTTAATTTTTTTTTCCATCCAAAAAATTTATTTGTCAAGTTCTGGCTCTCACGCTTTAATTAAGAAGAAATTTTTTAACGAATTTGAAGTGAAAAATTTATTTCTATATTATAATTTACTTACCTAATTTTCTAAAACTATTAAATCTGGCAGAGGTTTCTAACTCATTTGTGATTAAAGGTACTTTTTTGTAAATTTTCATTTAACAAATTTAATAAAATTTTTAACTGGTTAGAGATTTTGGCTTTGTTTTTGATTCGATGTAATTTTTAATAATTTATAAGTATTTTGCCTAATTGTTTGTACTCGACTGAAATTGCTGCTATTTAATTTTAGTGGTGAAAGGTCGAGAGAACTGGGGAGTTAAAGGGGGTCGGGTATATGTCCAGTAGGATCAGAGTGAATGAAGATTTTACTCATTACTAACATTTATACTTCTTGTGATTCCTATTTTCAGTTTCAAAATTAAGCACGTTACGATTTTATAGTTATTAATATTTATCAACTTTCTAAAACCAAATCTCATAACAGACGATGTTACACACATTTTTATTAAGTAATACAAGTAGGCCTATAATTATATAAGTAATCATTTATTAAAATTATAAAACT